CAACACATAACCATTTTGTGCATTCGCGTGTCTCCTTAAGTGGGTTCTTAATTTCCATAGTCCTTGAATTGTGACAAGCTTTCAAAGGAAGAGATCCCCAAACCAATTGCTTCAGCACACTGACATTTTAAAGGAGTGCTTAGTTGCAGCCATTAGTTCCCTAGCAGGGAACTGGCAGGCAGCCATCTCACCCAGCCCCACATTCACAGCAAGTGTAGGTTGTCAGGGTGGAGACTGAGGAAACATTCTTCTCTGTAGTGGCTGGGATTGCTCTGTGCATTGTAAAGCCTAATAGAACCTGTGAAATGGATGATGAGTGGGTCTGAAATACTTGTCTTTAAAATGTCTTGAGAAACAGATGCTAATGAAGGCATTTACTTCTCTGAGTCATTTCACAGTCATTGCCATAATTTTCTTCTCTGCCATTACCATTTCATGGCTGTTCTAAGTTCCCATCTTTGGTCAAGTGATTCCATGGTTTCCTGCTACTTGCTGAAAACATAATTCTGGAGGCAGTGTTCCTTTCCCCTGACTAGATGTATCCTTTCCATTGAGCTGGATTTTTCTAACTCAGTGGTTCTCAATCTTCTGGCTCTTTAAATACAGTTCCTCATGTTGTGACCCAACCATAAAATTATTTTCGCTGCTACTTCATAACTGTAATGTTGCTACTGTTATGAATCGTAATGTAAATATCTGATATGCAGGATGGTCTTAGGCGACCCCTGTGAAAGGGTCGTTTGACCACTAAAGGGGTCGAGGCCCACAGGTTGAGAACCGCTGTTTTAACTTTTCTTTGTGCCCATTTGTCACCCCATCTCTGTTGACTCTGCCTTCTAAATTAATCCCTCTGTCCATGTGACAGTCTCTCATTGCTAACTCCTCTCCCTCATCTGTTTGAATTTCTTAGTGTCAGTCATTGCTTAGGGAACATAGGAAATGGAAATGGCTTCTTATATCTATGTCATTCCCTCTGAATACAAGGTTATTCTACCAAGGGGGCCTTTTGAGAAGCGGCTTTGGCCTATTTAATACACACAGTATTCACAGACATGTATAAAGTTTGTCCCCAATATTTAATCTTTGAAATTACTCTTTGCATTCAATTCTAGCCATTGACCTGGAGATTTGTTGGACCATTTAAAATGAGGACAGCTCATCCTTGGAATGTGGTCTTTCAAATGCTCAGAGTTGCTATTCCTGTTCAGTTGATTCAGTTTCTTACATTGAATTCTCAGCAGGAGCTGAAGTTGCCTTCCCAAACCTTCTTATGACTCATTGCATCCTCGGGGAAGTCACCACTGTGACATTCCCAAAGAGTGGGGCCCTGGAAAATGCAAAGTCACACAGCAGCCATTCCCCGCACCCTACCCTTCCACGTTACCAGATCTATTTTTTGGTTGTTGTTGAAAAGTCCCACTGCAACATGGAGCCCAACTCTTGTTCTCATCTTCTGCAAAGGAGGATGAGGAATGGGGAGATATGGGTTATAGTTTCCACATTGCCGCAGAGCAACTGGGCGAGCTTGAGCAAGTGGCTTCTCTATCCCTCAGTATCCTCATCTATGAAGTGAAGTGTTTGGATGAGCAATAAAATTCTATACAATTTGGAATCATTCCCCTCCTAAGTTTCTGTGTAGAATTTATTTTCCTAGTTATAACAGTATTTCAACTTTGGTCCTCATTTTATTATTGGGCACTCTTTTTCTTATTATCTTAATTTTCTTACTTTTTTTGATGTGATATCTTCCCTTTTAAACTTTTAAAACATTTCTATTTTTTATCTAAAATGTATTAATTTCATTTTGAATACAATAACATTCAAATTATTTTTAGTGTTGGTGAAAATTTTTCAAATTTTCTTCTGTTTTATTAGGAAATTTTTATTGCAGTGTAACATACATGTAGAAATATACACAACTAATTATCATAGAGCTCAATGAATTGGCACCAAGGTTACCCCATATAATCAGAACCTAGATCAAGAAACAATTTAACAAGCTTCTCAGAAACTTCCTTTATTCCTTATTCAATTCACTCAACCTTCTGTCCTACGTGGGTAACCACTATGCAGATTTCTAACACTATGTATTTGTGTCACCTGTATTAAAACTTTAAATAAATAGAATCAAACCATATGTACTGTTTGTGATCTGGCTTCTTTCATTCAATTATGGGATTCATGTATTTTGTGTAGAGAGAAGTGTAATTTGTTTATTCTCATTGCTGTACATCAGTTTAACTATTCAAATGATTTCCTTAGACTAGCATAGGAATTTCAGCCCTGTGTTCTTATACTAGGGGCCCAGTGCACGAATTCATGCACCTTGAAAGGAACTGTGGGCCGTGAGGCTGCAGTAGGCACAGGGGTGGGTCTCGGCACATCCTCTGCACCCGCACCCATCCACGGCCCCCAGTCCGTCTGCTGGCAGCCCCGCTTCTGCCACCGCTCCCAAACGCTGATTGTGCTGGCCCCACTCGCACCTGCTAATGGTGTGGAGCAATTGGGGCCAGTGCCAGCAGCGGGTGCAAGTGGCTGCTGCTGCCCCAATTGCCCCTCAGGAATAGGGGGAGGTAGAGAAGCCCTGAGAGGCCATTAGAGCTGGCAGCTGCCGCTCATACCCACTGACGGCGCCAAGTGATTGGGGCTGGCGCCGGGCGCTGGCAGTGGGTGCGAGTGGGGCCAGCACCAGCAGCAGATGCTAGTGCCAGGTGGGACTGTGGCATGCGGGAGCAAAGAATTTTCAGTAACTACCAGAGGCTCGCCCCGATGACAGCGACTGGTGCCCTGCCTTGGTCTGGCATCCCCACTCACCTGCTCCACCATCCCACTGTGACCAACGCCCACCATGTTCTGCACATGCCCCGTGGTGGTCAGCGCACATCATAGCAACCGGTTGTTCTGCCATTTGGTCTATTTGCATATTAGCCTTTTATTATATAGGGTAAATGCTGATAATCTGTCTCTATGGAGAAAGAGTATATATGCTAGAATTTATAACATTGGAGTGGTATCAGATTTTCTTTTTTCCACCTGTGCCCATGGCAACCATTGAAAATGTTGGAGAACTTGGTGCTTAAAAGGGACTAACAGACTGTTTTCTGATTATTTCAAAGGATCCCAGAATCTCTTCATAAATTAAGGCAAAGTAGAATCCAACAACCATTATTCCATTTCACTGAACAAGAACCTAATAACATATAAGCTCCTGTGCATATTATGTTGTCAATGTTGTTTAGAAAATAGACAGATTTGGAAGCACATAATCAACAGATAGCAATCAATAAATCAAGTAGCTCCTGGAGCTCCAGGGCTGGGACAGGAATACAATGAGAAGGAAATAATTGGTTCCTCTGGGAGTCAAAGGGCCAATAAGCAAAGAACCAGCTTAGGCTCAATGCATAACTCAAGGCATTCTGAATTCCCATCTGAAGTTGTCTACCATTGGCCTTTGAAAGAAAAGATAGTTGGTTAATACTTTTAGGGAAAGAGGTTTCAATATGATAAATACTTCCTATTTGTTAATATTATATATCCTAGTGAGAGATTAGATGCTATTTGGAGATGGTCAATAAAAATACTCATTTGGCGCCCTAGCTGGTTTGGCTCGGCGGATAGAGCGTTGGTCTGTGGACTGAAGGGTCCCAGGTTTGATTCTGGTCAAGGGCATGTACCTTGGTTGTGGGCACATCCCCAGAAGGAGGTGTACAGGAGGCAGCTGATCGATGTTTCTCTCTCATCAATGTTTCTAACTTTCTATCCCTCTCCCTTCCTCTCTGTAAAAAATCAATAAAATATACTAAAAATACTCATTTTTGGAATTACTCATGTGAAAAGAAAAATTTGAAATCCCTAAGTAGAGATATAATTATACCAATTTCTACCAATCCCTATTGTTAAACAAAAATGTTACCTTCCATGGCTGAAAATATATTTTAAAGAAAGATTTATTGAGCCCCAAATGCTAGTCAACCACTATGTTGTACACGTGAAACTAATACAAAATAATATTAAAAGTAAACTAGAATTGAAAAATAAAAAATAAATAAATTAAAGAAAAAATAAATGCTAGCCAAAAAGAAGTGGTTTGGGGCATGAAGTCTAAACCACTAATAGCATGGCTATGTAGAGAAGACATACATGTTCATCGTTCCAGAGTTTGCAACCATTTTTATTTATTATTAAAAAATATTTTATTATTAAAAAATATTTTGTTAAGCTGATGATATATTTTTATCCATTGATTTTTAGAGAGAGAGTAGAAGGGAGGGAGGGAGAGAGAGAAGGAAAGAGAAGGTGAGAGAGAGACACATTGATTGTCTTCTGCATGTGCCCTGATCGATCAGGGCTGGGACCGAAGCTGCAACCCAGTACGTGCCCTTGACCGAGAATCAATCCCAAGACCTTTTGGGGCCCAGGCCAGTGCTCTAACCATCTAGCATACTGGCCATGGCTACAAGCCTTTTGAAACATATAGTGGTGGTGGTGGGGGGAGTAAGATGTAAGCCATTTGAAAGAATTTACATATCAATAGACAAAGGTATGGGAGAAGCTGTAGCAGGGCCAGCTCTGGGATAGGCGCAGAGTCTCTAAAGAGAAATGTCCGGCCTGTGGATTGGATGTGGCAGCAGTCCAGAAATCTCTATTGTAAATAAGAAGTGGAGACTCCTGGAGATCAAGGATGTCTGGCTAGGATAATTGCAGAAATAGCTACCTGAAAATTAACCTGAATTTCCAACAGACACACAAGGAATGTGAGCAGTCTTTTTTGTTGGCTGGCCCTCAGCCATTAACAGGCTGAGTTCTGTTTCTTTATCTCACTCTCTGGCCACTGTAATTTAATTTAGAACATCTCGGAATTTTTTTTTGACAAAGTGAGACCCTAGAATTTTTTTAGTACTTTTTTACCTTTAATACTTTTGTACTTTTGGACAATTAGTTGTTACATTTTTCCTTTAGGATTTTCATCTCTCTCCAAAGTGAATCAACAAGACAGATGCCTTCCCTTTAGATAAAAGAGCCTGGATATTTTCTTCTTCTTTCTTGGTTATGGTAAAAAAAGTTTTCTTTTTGCTCATTTCATTCTACCCATCAGGATTTCGGATGGAGACAGCATACTTATCCGATGTGGAATAAGTGGATAACCAGAATCCTTTTAAAATGTCATATGCTTAAAAGAAATGTCAGCAGTTCCATGTCCTTCAGGGTTCATCTGTCTAGCACTTGAGGCAGTCATTTAATGAATCAGTGGAGGCTAATGTGCGTTGGCGCTGTCTATGTCATAGATAAGTTAATGCTGCAGGCTTAGAGGGGATTTCAACAAGCTGATCTTAATTTCTTTTAACAAGTGAATGCTGGAAACATGACTATGGCGTTGGTATTCTACAGTGGGACACTACCTGGAGCTGTGACAAAGGATATAAAGAGAATGATTGATTTACTGGGTAAGTACAAAAGTGGGACAGAGAAGGCAATACTAGGATTTTGAAAGTCAGTGTTTGGTTCAGTTTAAGGACTAAGTTTCAATCAAATCCTGTGCTTGTGATTATTACAAATAGTCACCTATTTCCCCCCTTTTCTATTTCTTAACATGCATTTATTCTTTCATTTTATTTATAATTTTTGAGATTTTTTTGGTAATAGGCATTTTCTACTACTATACTTATTACTGTTACTATTACTAACAAATGCATATTGAATACTTAGCACATGTCAGGTACTGCTATTTTTTAATCTTTATCATTGAAAGTATTATAGATGTCCCCCTTTTGCCCCAATTGACCCCCCTCAGGTCTTCACCACACTATATTCTGTGTCCATGGATTATGCATATAACTTCTTTGGTTATCTCTTCCCACCCACCTCTGCCTTCCCTCTGAGATTTGTCGCTCTGTTCGATGCTTCTATGTCTCTGGATCTATTTTGTTCATCAGTTAGTTTTGTTCATTAGATTCCACATATGAGTGAGATCATGTGATACTTGTCTTTCTCTGACTGGCTTATTTCGCTTAGCATTATACTCTCCAGGTCCCTCCATGCTGTCTCAAAGGGTAAGAGATCCTTATATTTATAGCTGCATAGTATTCCATGGTGTAAAACTTTTTTTTTTTTAATATATTCCATTGATTTTTTACAGAGAGGAAGGGAGAGAAATAGAGAGTTAGAAACATCGATGAGAGAGAAACATCGATCAGCTGCCTCCTGCACACCCCCCACTAGGGATGTGCCCGCAACTAAGGTACATGCCCTTGACCGGAATCGAACCTGGGACCCTTCAGTCCGCAGGCCAACGCTCTATCCACTGAGCCAAACCGGTCAGGGGGTGTAAAACTTTTTTATCCACTCATCTACTGATGGGCACTTGGGGCTGTTTCCAGATCTTAGCTGTTGGAAATTGTGTTGCTATGAACATAGGGATGCATTTATTCTTTCTGATTGGTGTTTTGGGTTTCTTAGGATATATTCCTAGAAGTGGGATCACTGGGTCAAATGCCAGTTCCATATTAATTTTTTGAGGAAACTCCATACTATTTCCCACAGTGGCTGCACCAGTCTGCATTCCCACCAGCAGTGTACTAGGGTTCCCTTTTCTCCACATCCTCCCAGCACTTGTCATTTGTTGATGGCAGCCATTCTCACAAGTGTGAGGTGGTACCTCATTGTCATTTTAATTCGCATGTCTCTAATGATCAGTGACTGTTGAGTATTTTTTCATATGTCTCTTGGCCTTCTATATGTCCACTCTGGCCCATGGGCCAAAACCAGCAGTCACCTGTTTTTGTTCAGCATGTAAGCAAATAATATTTGTTATATTTCAAATAGTTGAGAAAAATTGGGAAGGAATATGTCATGATGTGAAAATTTTATGAAAATAAAATTTTGTCTATGAATGAGAGAGAGAGAGAGAGAGAGAGAGAGAGAGAGAGAGAGAGAGAGAGAGAAGAGGTTGGAAAGATTGTTGAAAGTAGTGTTTGAATTCCAGCCTAAGGTATATAGACATTATTCAGGTAAATAAGAGTGGTTATGAAGGAACATCTAGCAAGATATCAGAGTAAATATTGAGGAGAATAGTAATACTCAGATGTGATTCATTTACTCTTAGGAACTCAGGTATGAAAGAGACTTTAATGTTCAAAATACTCATTTAATGTTAGAATTGTGACTCTCCTTTCATTTTTCCTGAATTCTATAAGTTCTCCAATTAGTCGATGGTTTTTAAAATATTTCAGTATATGAATATGTATGCATTTTCTTTGCATATAGGTATTTTGTTTAGGCTAGATGATGAAAACTAGTTTGAGAACTAATTTTACACTAATTGTAAGCAATGAGGTACAACTGTCTTGCCAACATTGGTGCCATCTTTCTGACTGCAGATGATTCTAGATTACAAAACAGACTCATATTTTAAAAAGAATGGAATTTGTTTCTCTTCTGAAAAACTCAATACAAGAAAATCAACTATCAAAATAAATCATTGGATTATTATCATTTAAAAATAATTTCTTTAGCTGTGCAGAAGCTTTTTAGTTTGATGTAGTCCCATTCATTTGTTTTTATTTCCCTTGCCTTTGGTATCAAGTTCACAAAAACCTCTCTGAGACCAAAGTTAATAAATTTAGTGCCTATATTTTATTAGTTTCAGGTATTCACAAGTATTTTTTTTTTTTAGTTTTGTTTTTTTTTTAACATTTTATTGATTTCAGAGAGGAAGGGAGAGGGAGAGAGATAGAAACGTCAATGATGAGAATCATTGATCTGCTGCCTCCTGTACGCCCCACCCTGGGGATCAAAGCTTCATGTGCCCTGACTGGGACCCAAACCCTGACCTCTTGGTTCATGAGTCGATGCTCAACCAGGAATCAAACTTTGACCTTCTGGTTCATAAATTGACGCTCAACCACTGAACAATGTACAGGATCAGATTTTTTCATATCTATAGTATCAACAAGATTTACATATGTTTAGCATAACTTGCTTCTTCCTGAACCAAGTATATAAATATGCTTTAGAACAATTTTTAGCTGGATTTTTAAAAAAGTGGTTTGGGTTAATTCTTGGCTAATCAAAATGTTATATGGTATATTGAAAAGGTGAAGTAATTTGTAGTTAGAAGATCTATTTATCATTTCCTGGTTGTGTAATCTTTGATAAGTAACTGAGTCAGTCTCTCTAAGCCTTCGTTTTGTCATTTGTGAAATTGGGATAATAGTTACATCTGGCTTGCTTTCCTGAGTAGTTCTGAGGATCAAATAAAGAACATATGAACTCTTTAAAAATGTACAAAGTCTAGTTATTATTAACCAGGAATGTAAATTATGTGGTAGATCTCATTCCAGAAACATTTTATTTAACTGGTGTTTGATTCCACTCATCTTCTTGTCTCTGCTTTCTGGTAAAATTTTCCCATGTCATCATATCTCTGAACAAACCTAACCCTTAGATTTGGAATCGTATATAATTTCTTATTCACACAAAATTTATATTTCCATATGCTGTATTCTACTCTGCTCCTACATATCTTATGGTTGTAGTCAGAGAGTTAGTTCTTTCATGCTGTATCTAAATTTATATGAGTATGTGAGGAAAAGATAGTTATAAAAGAAAATGAGAGAGGGAAAACCTCTACATGGATAAGAAAATAGAAACAGTAGATGCATGCTACACTAAGCATTTTTTTTTTTTCTGGAAGGTAATATATGCTTGTATATGTCAGGCACTAGATTAGTTACAAGTAAGGTGTTAGATTTAGCTTGAGTGGATTTCTAAATTTTCTTCTATTTAGATCTTGGGGCTTGAGAAGATGCTATCATCTTAAAGGCTACATTAGAGTTTATTTGTTTAAGCTAGTAATTGAGATTGTCCAAGGTCTGTGAGTTGTTAAAACACCATGCTGGTAAGGCCAATGATAGAATTAAAATTCTCTGAGGCTTTATTTTATACTAGAGGCCCAGTGCACAAAATTCATGCACTGGAGGGGGTGGGGGCGCATCCCTCAGCCGAACCTGCACCCTCTTGCAGTCCAGGACCCCTCGCTCCTTACCGCTCAGCTCACTGCTCCTTAGCCCGGCATCTGGCTGAGTGGTGCTCCCCCTGTGGGAGCACACTGACCACCAGAGGACAGCTCTTGCATTAAGCGTCTGCCCCCTGGTGGTCAGTGCTCATCATAGCAACCGGTCGTTCTGCTGTAATGGTCACTTAGGCTTTTATTATATAGATATCATCACAGACTTTGGTCATTCTTGGGAAGCTGGCTTGAAAGTTAGTTTCATTGCTAGGAAGAGAAGCTAAAATATGGCAAAAAGGGGAAAAATGTATGTAGCCTACTTGAGGCTGTATTATAACCTAACTAGGATGGTTCAAGACTCTTATTTTTGTATGTAAAGGACAGTTAAAATAGAACAAGAAGAAATCTTCAAGAAAGCCAGTGTAGTAGCTTGAGCCTGGGAGAGGAAACTGACAAGAAAACACGTCAGTTGTCTCAAATAAGTTTTGGCCCATAGGCAAAGCTGAAAGGTGTAGAGGAAGAAACCCAGAAAGAATTGTACTGTAGACCTAGAACATTCTCATTTTTCAAATAAGGGGATTAAGAAAAGTTAAATGATTTACCAGCACCTGGTGCCATTGGTGATACCTTTCCAATTTTAGTTGATAACTTTTCTATAGAAGGTTAGAATTGGTTTCCTTTGTTATTCTCACTCATGGTTTGCATTAATGTAGTCTATCTCCATTTTGGTGTCTCCAGGATAACTTCTTAAAATCCAAGGCAACTATAGTTTATTTCTTTCCCATGTGTTTATTGGAGGCCTTCTTTATGCTAGGTCCTGTGCTAGCCACAAGTGGCATAACAGCGGACATAACATTGTAATACAAAATAGTGCAGTGATGACCAATCATCACAGACAGACCATTTTTCACTGAGAGTTTATTCAATTTGTGTAAACTCAATGGAAACAAATTTTGGGAATACAAGATGACCCAATCATCTGCAATGTACCATTTCTCCAATTCAAATCATCCAAAGAGAAAAAGCATATTCTGCTCAGTGATGGAGAAGGTCCATTGTTTCCCTTTTTAATTCTTACTGAGGTTTCCTAAGAGGGCAAAAGAGATATTCAATTTTATGAATTTATGTGCTTGAGGTTTAGATGCAAAATGAATTCATTTTCTGTAACACTTCCCTAGATATTTGGTTGGTTCAAGCTTAGGTTTCAAGTAGATTTATCTAAGAACCTAAAAACATAATGAAACTGTCCTATTCATGGCCATGCCACCTGACTTCCTGGCAAAGGTAGAACAAAATGATACAAACATTTTCCACCCCCAAAGACAATGAACAGAAGTAGAATCTGATCTCCACAAGTGTGTATTATAATTTCTACTGAAACCTATTTTCCCCTATAGTCACCACCACCCATTCTTTCAGAGATAATCATAGCAAGAC